CAGCGGACGAATAATGTTTTAATAGTTCTTTTATGTTTAAAATTCAGACTTTAAAAGATAATCTAAAACATTTAAAATTTTAAAATCTTACGCGAAATTGAAAACAATTTTTACCGAGAAACAACCAAAAAGAAGTTAGAAAAAATTTCCAGGACTGAAATTTTGGTTGAATATCGGCTGTTTTTGGTCGAAAAACGATTTTTTTTTTGAAGAAGCTGCTAATCAAGCTTTGGAATTTTTTTGGTTTAGGAATCACAAAAAAACTTCCTTTTTCATATTAGAAAAATCGGATCCTTAGAACAAGTTGGATTTTGACCTTCGCTGGCTATTTTCTAATCTTTTCGACCAAAATTTAAAAAAATGTTGCGAAAAAGCTTATAATTTTTAATAGATTTCTATCTCCCAAAATCGCTAATATTTCTTCAAAAGGGCCGCACAGAATTAGCTGGAAAAATTTGGTTCACCTCCCGTTCAACCCCCCCCATTAAGGGTCTAGTACCCTTGTTTAATTCTGCGACCCTTCGGATCCCGGCGGACAAATGCCGGAATGAAGCTTTTTGGGACTTCCGGCGCGCAAATTCACGTGTAGTTATGGTTTATTTTACTGAAACTATTTCGAAATTCTTCCTTTTAAGTTAAGAGGAAGAGGCATTTCTGGTCGTGTACAGAAAATAGTTGCACCCGAAGTCCAAAGAACCGAGATCGGTTTAGCTGGTTTTTAGCGTTCAGTACGTACTTTCCCGCCTCCTTAACCCTCACCTCAAAGATCTGGAGCGTATTACCCATCCAATAGCCGTTCCCCAGCCTCCTAAAAGGCGCCCACTTCAGGAATTTTTCTGCAGAATCCCTGATGCCGTCGGGGGTCCATTGGGCCATCTGCCCAGCCTGGCCCATCCCATTACCTATGCTGAAAAGCTAAGAACCCTAGCTGGGCTCTTCTTTTGTTCCGCAACAAGTGTCCACCAGGGCGTCACCAAGCTTGGGAAAGCGGGTTCAGTTTTTTAGCAAAAAAAAGGAAGCATACAAGTTTTAAATTTGAAGATGCGCGACTTTTTAATTCAGCCAATTTTTAAAAACTTATTTAAAACCTAACTAAACTAGGTTTGATATTTTTCCGAAACTTTTGCGGCCAAACGTGATCAAAAGTAAATTTTCTCCATTTTTCTAGATTTAATTCGGGTCACGCTAAAAAACTGACGCTATAAATCGCCGGCAATTCCGCGGCAGGCCAATTTACGCTCTAATAAATTTAAGCAAATGCATTTATGGGCCAGACGGGGCTGCAAAATCGGAGTGGCACGTAGCAAAAAAATGTGAAAAATGATGGATTTTAGGCTTTCAACATTAAGAAAGCAACCTTGCAAAATTTAAAACTTCTTTGCGATTTTTCGAAACCCAAAACTTTTCTCGACAATTAACGATAGGAGATTGGTTTTTATTGGTTTAAAAACCTAAATTTTGTTGTTTTGGGCTTTAAAAAGCTGAATTCTACCGGATTTTGAAATTTAAATTTTTTGATTGCTATGAAATCGACAGCGGAAGTTTTTCGAAATTCTTGGCTTTTCTACGTACTAAAACTGCTCCAAGCTATAAGTAATAATTTATTTCATTAGTTTAAATAAATCAGAATTTCTTGGTTTTTACATTGTGAATTTCGAAGCCTTGATCCTCAAAAAAATGGTGATCGTAAAGCCTTTCGCGAAAGTGTCGAATTGAGCCATAGTAATTCCCATTTTAGCACCCCAGCAATAACAATCCGCGCCCTCCTCTTCCTCCTTTATATTCATTTTTCAAGTACGCGCCATCGTGGAGTTCATGCCCCGCCGCAGCAGCTTTCTTCCTCATTCCCTAGCCTCGTTTTTTGTTTATGCCTAGGGGCATATTTTCCGCTCAAAGTTGACCCTCTCTCCCTCGCGCACCTCTTCTTCCTCTTCACCATAGCTCTAGGGCAGGGCAAAAGAAATGGCTTGGCGACTTGTGGAAAATAGGAAAGGAAATGCTCGGATTTCTAGCCAGGGGGGGACTGCGCTCCTTCTTTGCATTCCCCCACTTCCATTCCCCCTTGGGGCATATTTCCGGCCGTTTTCGAGGGTTTATGCGATTTTTGAGGATCGAGTTTTTGGGTGCGGAGGCTCGTTATTTGCCTTATTTCCAAGAATTCGGTTAAGCTAATTGGGAGCTTAAGCCTACACCAAGCCTAATCGAACTTTACGATAAGCTATGCCAAGCTTAAGCCAAGCCTGTCAAGCCGAAGCCAAAGCCTAAGGCAAGCCTGAGCCGAGTTTAAGCAAAGCCCAAGCTTAGGCAGAGCTAAGCCCAAGCTGAAACCAAGCGAAGCCAAGCCTATCGCAAGCTTAAGATAAACCTAAGCTAATCCTCTGCCACACCAATCGCTAAGCCCAACTTCAGCTTAAGCTAAGTCCAAGCTAAGCCTAAGCTAAGTTTAAGCTAAGCTTATAGCCAAGGCTAAGGTAAGCTTAAGTCTAAGCTATATACGTTAAGCCACACTTAAGCTTAGTTTAACAAGTTCTGAGTTAAGTCTCCGCCTTACTTAAAAATCGGATTTCACGGATCTCATCTACGGTTTGTAAACCTACAGTATCTCAGCAAATTTTTACGTAAAAATCCGAGTCTTGCACTTCTCGTACCACTAGCCATCCCCAGGGGCCATTTGCGTTCTTTGGTCACTTCCGAATTTTTCCGCCATCAAAACTTTTGGCCGGCCAGGGCCGCGGCCCCGGGCAGCTTCATCCGTTCCCCGGGGAGGTCGATGGCTGCGTAATTCGAACGGCTTTGCGGGGCCGGCCGGCTGAATTTCTTCCATTTTTCTTTGGCTTTTCCTCCCGCATGTGGGGCTTCTTCCAGGCACCCTGTGGCTTTAAGAAGATGGATTTTCGACTGGGGTGGCTAGGACACTTCATCTTCTAGGGGGAGCGAGAGGTGCTCGGTCGGTTCCTGGTTCAACTGGTGGCTTCGAGGCATGCCTTGCAAAATTTTGAAAATTTATTTTGTGAAGCAGCCTTGTAACTGTTTTTTTAGAGTTTCAAAAATGCCGTAATAGCCTAGAGCTTTTTTCATTATTTGGTACTGAGATTTCTACGTTGCAGACCCCAAAATCCCGCTCTCTCGCTCTCTCTCTTTCTCACACACACTCTCTCTCTCTCTCTCTCTCTCTCTCTCTCTCTCACTCTCTCTAGCTCTCTCTGCCTACTGACACCATCCCGTTAAAATGCCACTCAAAATTTGAACCCTCGTTCCCACCAGGTGACGCCAGGGAACCGCTTATGCCCATCACTTTTCCGCATAAATTAGGCGAAAACTCGGGGGCGAACCACGAGGTGTCCATCTTCTAGGTATTCTGCAAGGAACTACTCGAAGCCGCTCCTCGAAAGTTGCTTTAAAGGCCGGAGAACGGGGCGCTGGGACCTCAGTTTAGGTTTTAAAATGACGTCCAGCGTTTTCTCGGAAGCTACCGTAACCTAATTGGAGCATCATTTGCTTTAGAAAATTTCAAAAAATTTTTGGTGGTGTTTTTCCAGTTTTTGCCATGATTTCTGGTCACGATTAGGTCCAATCAACCCTAATTGCCCGCTATACCGCTCAAAAATTTATGCCCCCTTACCATTGCGTTGGTAGGCCATTTTCGGAACGATACACTCTACTGGGCTTGAATTTACAATTCCAACCCTGAATTTCAGCCGAATTCAGACGACATCAACAGCTCAGGCTAATGCATTTCGGGCCTCTCCCTCAATCGGCTAGGCCAATTCGGACATCAGGATTCGGAATTAGGTGTCGTAATTGGCGTCAGAATAGCAGAAGGGTATTGCTGGGAGGTACATAAAGGTGGTGCTATACCGGAAATAACGTGCTCTAGGGGGTACTGTACTACCCAAGCAGCGAGACTTCGCGCTAGTAACTTTTGTATCGTAATAACCGCTCTAAAAGTTGTATAAACCATTGGTAACTTTGATACGTATCAGGATACCGAAAATTAACCCTAACCCGAAAGCTGGATTTAGCAAATTTTTATGGAGAGTTAAAAATATGTTTTTTCGTTGTATTTTTAGACACTTAAGGAAACTCTACTCAAGCCTTGATGTCAGCAACTGCTCTTGCCCTTCCCGTTTCTTGCCTAAATTTTTCTCGCTCGATCCCCCGAAACATCACGTGAATTCCAAATTGGTGTAACCGGAGACGCGGCGGCTGGCTACATAGTTGGTACTTTGGAATTCCGTAAACTTTATGGTCTTGCTTTGGGCCTGTTCCTCCCAGCCTGGCTTCATGCTCCTTATGTTGAGGTTCCTGTTCCTTTATCAGCTCTAGCTTGTTTTTTCGTCTTGCTCAGCCCTTCCCGCTGAGTTCCCTGGCTTCTGCCGACTGCCCGAACTTCCCTTTTGCTTGGATCCCCATTTTTTCTCCTGGCTCCTAGCTTCGTGTAGCTTAATCTGTTCGGCTCAGGCTTTAAATGGCGTATTTTTACAACTTTTTGCCTTCTAGTCAAATAAAACATGTTTTCCGTCTAATTAAACTCAACAAGCCTGCCCATCTCGTTTTCCCATCGCCGAAAAACGTGCCTCATTCTGCTCACCGGGCCTATAAATTATTCCGGGCCTCTCAATTGGGCTAAGGGCCCCAGACGAGATGTGGCCAACAGCAGCCGGGCGCGCGGGTGGCTAGTTTTTTTAAGGGGGTCCCCGTAGAACTTTGGGACGCTAGCAATTGGCCAAATTTTGGGGTGGTAAATAGCCTGCTACGTAGTGATACGAAGGCATTTTTTGCAAAACTACGGTAGTCTTGAATGTAGAAAAAACTACCGTATTCTTACCATACCCTAGACCGCCGATTCTTCCCTTCCTTAATATAAAATCAGTTTTTTGAAACGCGCGTACAAAAATACGAGATCTGCGCCTTAAATTAAAATTTCAAATGTAGTTTTTTTATTTTCAATTTTCGCCGTTTTGATATGCTGATAAATTTCCAAATACCGTATTTTCCAGATGACAGACGATCTGCGGAAGATCGTCGTCCGGGCCAACCCGGCGATCACGGGTCAGTTAGGTTTCCGGCTCGTCGGCAGCCGCCATTCGGGTGTCTTTGTCTACTCGATTCAGGATGAGTATAAGCATGTAAGGGTTTAAATGAAAACCATAAATCAAAATACTTCAGCCTGGAGGTCTTGAAATCGGTGATCGTCTACTGCAATGTGAAAAGATTCCGTTACAGGGGAGGACGCCGGAGCAGGTTTGTTATTCAATTTTTTTTTTGTTTGTAAGATAACTCAGGTCATTTACAAAAAAAATTGAGTTTCGGTGCCCATTAAAAGTCAGAAAACAACATTTATAATCTTGCAACTAGCAAAAAAAACAATTTGAAAGGGGCTAGCTGGGTCGAAAATTATCCCTAATGATGACTGGGATTCGACAGCCGTAGCTCACTGAAGATACAGGGGTAAGGCATCAAAACTCAGCTTAAAAACTAAGCTAGACCGTGTTTTGTAGCAACACATAACTGTCACGGCCTAGTCCACGCGGGCATCGATCTTGGCGCTTCCAAATCCCTTTAAAATACCACTCCCCGACGTATTCTAGCTCTCTAGATTTCCAAATAATTCCCATGACGTCAAGCTCATTTTTTTCTTTTAGGTAGCCGCCATCCTCCGCTTCTCCCTCAACCGCCAGGGGCACATCTTTGTCATCGTCAAACGCGAGACCGAAATCCGCGAACGACTCGAGAACCAACGGCGGCTAGCCGACAAGGAGAATTTACACCCCTCATTCCACGATGCGCCATTAGACGATGCCGAAGACGGGGAGAATGAGCTGATGGAGGGCGTCGAGGAAGAGGTGAGAAGAAGAAGAGGGAATGAATCCCTTTAAGACCCAACCCCTCTAGCCCTAAAGGGACGTTAAAGAGACGCCAAAGAGGCCCCTCAACGCCCCACTAGGGTCCCCTGGAGGGTTCATCCCGGAACCCCTATTGCCTCCCTCGCAAATTGCCCTCCTGATGGGACGGCAGTAGTCGATTGGCATTAGTTGCGCATCGTACAGATTTTAGGAGATGCTTTAAGGGGGAGTGACAGTCCAGGGATCGTAGGGTTTTTATATAAGTACATATGCTCCATTTCCCTCCCTGTCTCCTCCTCTTTTGCGCTCTCTCTCTCTCTCTCTCTCTCACTCACTCCCCCCCCATGCACACGATGTCACAGAAATAGCGATTTTAACTCTAGAGCCGGTCTGTCTGACTCTCACTCTTTCACTGTCTCTCTTTCTCTCTCTCTCTCTCTCTCTCTCTCTCTCTCTCTCTGTCTCCCACTCGCTATTTGCTCGCTCCCTCGCGTATATATAATACCTAGGGACGGCTGAAAAACATTGTTTTCTATTCAAGAATTTTATTCATTTCACCATTTCTAGGATTTTAACTCCAGACCTGTTTTCCCAGATGACGCTCTGGTAAGTGATCAGAGATTATATCATTCGCAAAATTGAGAATACGAATTTTTGGTATTTAAAATAATGCCTTAACTTTGTAGCAAAAATCCTCGTTTCCAAATTTGTATCCTAACTATAAATTCATTAAATTAAATACAATGCCACCAATATGGAATTAGTCTTACATCCCAAATTAGATTCCGCTTCTCCAAAATTTATTACAGCACCTGTCATATTTTATATAGCCACCACCTGCCGAGATTGCCAGGAACGTTACTTTCCCAGGCCAACGACCTGTTACAAATTTCACCCGTTTTGGGTCCCTGGAGCTTTACATGGGTGTGGGGGAGGCCCCGTTCCCAGTACCTGGTAATTTGGTGCCCACGGCGCCTCGGCAAGCGGTGTGTCATAATCCGAATCTCAGCCAGCACCTCCTTATTTCCGGGCACTCACGATTCTCACTATAGCCGGAGTGTTTGATTTTTAGTGACTGTAAATAAAGCCAATTTTTAATGCAGGCTAGCAAAATTCATTTGGGAATTTAATCCAAACCTGACAGACCAGACCTGCATATGGTTTTGGAGCAATAAAAAGATTAATTTGGAACCAGAGGTTTAATTCATTTTCTCTCTCTCACTCTCTTTCTCTCTTGCCCTCTCTCTCCACCTCGTTTCATTTGTCGCTCAAGATCTGTCTCTTTATCTCTCACAAGCCCTCTCTCTCATTATCTATCTCTCTGCTACTGAATCATTATCTCTAACAGATTCTTGCCTTGTCCAGCCTTTTAAAATCATATAGGCCCGGATCTTCTGAAAGTTTACTTCCTAAAATTTGAGCTCAGCTGACCAATATCCCATGCGGAAATTGGACAAACCAAGAATTTATTTCGGAGGGTCTCACCCCCATTTACGGGAAATGCGTCATAATCCTAGCGGCATCTCATCGTCTCCTCCTCCCTGTTCGGGGTGACGCCTTCATTTCCCCCACCCTACCTAGCCACCCCAAGAGTATTAGTTCTATTTTTCATATTACAGCCGGATTGCCTGCCGGGAGTCTCGTCTGCTTCTGCCGAACATTCCGACTTCAACTCGCCAGACCCCTTCGAGATTCCGAGCCCCAAGAAGATGCTGGTGGGTTTTAAAGGAGTTTTAAAGGTTTTGAAGCTTCTGATTTTGAGGTTGTTAAGCCTACTTCATATTATTCGGGGCTTCTACGCATTAATGGTAATCAGGGCTCCGGAACTTAAGGTTATGCACGAAGCCAGCCGGGAGCGAGAGTGCGTGAAAGAAAGAGAGGGCGAGGGCGAAAGATAGCGAGAGATAATGAGAGAGAGACAGAGAGAGAGGGAAAGAGAGAGAGAGAGTGAGAACGAGTGAGTGACAAGGGCGATAGATGATGTGAAATGGTGAGCATGACTTTCTAATTTTCCGTGTGTTCTACGACCCCATCCCACTTCCAAACCTCAGGTTCTTCCCCGGGGGTCATTAAGAATTCCCCCTCATCTGCCCCCCCCCGCGCCCATTAATCTGCATAAAAGGACGATGCTTTTTCCTAAACGTTCCTCGTCTGTGTTAGTCAGCCCTTTACATGGAATTATGGTGGGAATTAGGAATTATGAAGAATTCGCTAGGCTCCAGGGAATTCCCCCCTCAAGTCAATTAATTCCAGTAAAGCCCTCTGGCTGCAAACGGCGTTCGGTTGCGTCGGGGAATTCTTAAAATTTGATGAGACGATCCTGAACGGCGTTTTCTCGAGTTAGAGATTTTGCAGAATTATGAAAGCAGAAACCTTGAAATCGTCTCCACTTATAATTTTTGCCCCAATTTTTAAATCCATGAAATTCTAATTTTTTTTATAAAATTTCTTTCTCTACTGTAGCGCGTAAAATTAAAAGATTCTTTTGCGAAAAATGGTTATTTCCCGTCTAGCCACACACCTAGTTATTTATAATGGCCGATCCAGTCCCCCTAGCCGTAAATAGTAATTTTCGGACGGGCGGACTGGGATGGGGCCCAATAATAAAGCTTGACTGTATAGTCTTTAAACCCCCTGTGGGACTTCATTTTCTCTATATTTATGATAAATTTTCACCATGAAAAAAAACACAATATATTATTCTTCAGGCGTTTGCAACGATATTACGATATTTTTCCAGAAGCGAAGAATGATCAAATCGTTCACCACTGAGGACCGTCTTCTGTTGATCGCTTGTGCGGCGGATTCGGATATGAAGTAAGTAAAGTTTCTCTGCGCTAATTTGCGGCTTTTAGGACTTTTGGAATTATGGAAAAGGAAGAATACGAGTACGACTATTCGTCAGGGAAATTTCGATGTCCCATATGCTTCAAGCAGACCGATTTGGTGAGTTTACAGCTGCAAAAAGCCTAGCTTACGCGCTATAAAAATTATAAATAAACGCTAGCAGAAAGCATCAGACCCATGAGCCTTCAATTTTCGGTTTTGCATAAGTAAGTGAGAGGGAGAGACAAAGACATAGAGAGAGAGAGAGAGAGAGAGAGAGAGAGAGAGAGTGAGAGGGAGCATATGAGAGTGAGCACGAGGGAAACAGAGTATGAGAGAGAGAGCAGGACCAGAGATGGAGAAAGGCCGAGCGTTAAATGAATCCGGAATAATCAAGTGAATTTAACAATTTTGATCGGATTGAAGCGAGTCGGATAAGACAGTTTTTTCGAAAACTAAAAAATTACTGTATTTCTAGCCTGTCCCGTAAATCCAGATTCCTTTACGCTCCTCATAACGATCCCTATTTTCCAGAAACGTCTCCATCAATTACGTCACATCTGGCGTTTCTCAGCGCGACGCCTACTCCCCTTCTCATTCTCCGATTACGCCATACTTTAAGATGCCGGTCAAAAATAGCCACTTACAAAATGTGATTCTTCTTTGTATCAACATTCCACGAATCTTACCAGAGACTGTGAATATGCTATTGTGACGGGCAGCATAAACGGTTTATTCGCTATTCGGCGTCGACGATTACCGTATTCTCCTTGCCTCCCATCTCGGAATCAAATTTCTTCCACTTTGTTCGTCGATTTTGGAACCAGATTTTGACCTGAAAATTAGCGTTTAAAAAGATAAAAGTGAAACTAATGGACGGTTTTAAAGTATCAGCTTTCAGTTGTAAACGAACTATTAGTGCGTGAAAGTCAGGGAGACGTCAGATTCTGCCAAAAAACCACGGCTTCTATGCCTCAAGTTCAACAGGGTCAGCCGTGAAGCTCAGGTCGGTTTTGAAATTGCTGAATCCAATGAGCTGCTTCATCATAGCAAAATTCTGGCCCTTTCCGCAAGAATCCTTGCTAAGCTACCACCTGGTGGTTAGACGTTTTTAAGAGGATAACCAGTTTTTCAATACAAATTACCTGTGTTTCCGTCAAGCACAGTGCCCTCGCCAGCTCCTGTCGTTCTGTAGATGATAGATACTTCTTGACCTCAAACTGACGTTCGAGCTCGTAGATTTGACGACCCGTAAAGGTGGTCCTAGCCTTTTTCTTCTTTGATTTCCCGTTTCTGATGTAAGGGACGGAGGTTTTCTTCGCTTTTTCTAGAAAAAGAGTTTTTGATAAAAAGCATGGCTTACCTGGATTGCCACTCTTTTCATTGAGGCCCAACAACTTCTCAATGGAAAAGTCGGTACCAGGTTTCGGGATGTCGAGGAGAAGCTCTAAAGCTCATGTTTTACGAGATCAGGGAGCAAGGAAGAGAGAGAGAGAGAGAGAGAGAGAGAGAGAGAGAGAGAGAGAGAGAGAGAGAGAGAGAGAGAGAGAGAGAGAGAAAGAGAGAGAGAGGAGAGAGAGAGAGATTTAGCCGAGTACGGTAGTGAGAGGCTCCAAAACCAAATGTGAGAAAAAGCTAGATATGAGTGAGATAGGGAGAAAAGCGAGAAAGAGGAGAGGGAGAGAGAATGCGAGAAAATTGGATATGTAACAATTTCGAAAAGAGGGGTACAGGAGTCCAGCGGCCGTTCGCACCTTACCTGCAAAATTCGGCAACGGCAGTAGTCGGGCCAATAATGGGTTGAACAGGTGTGGGATACTGTAGTTCCAGCTCATTTGGCGATTCCAATAAGGTAGTAGTTAGCGACCTCGGTCGAGTCAGTTACGGTAGCTCCAGGTCGACAGGAGGTTTGCTACGATATTTCGCCCAGTTGAATGGGTGCTCTACTCCTTGAAGGCGACGGTTCAAAGCAGGTCCAGATGCCAGAGGTGATCGGGGGCCCCAAGTGGAAGACTGCTTGATTCCTTGGTAGGGGTATCCCTTTCATCCGAGTAAGCTGTCTCCGATCTCGGCCCCTTCCTCCCGATTGCCGGGGAGGGCTATTTGGCTGATTCGGTTTTCGGTTGGAGGGGACTTCTGGGCCCATCAAGGGACATGAAGACCCGACGATACTGGCCATCATAGCCCCCCTTCTACCACCACCACCACACAGCAACCACTCAAATCGAATCAGCAGAAACGCCACTCCACCCCCAGCCTCCGCCAATCAAGCCATAAAGCACCCATCATCGCTTGCTGCCTAGGGGGAGTGGGCCCTAAGGAGGGAGAGTGGGCCCCACCGCCCGGGTATTGGGACTCATTTTGGGTAAGTGGATACCGCAGGGTGGATGGCTGGGTAGCTACAATATGTAGTCCTTAAAGGGCTATTGAATTCTTCGGGGGTTCAAACGCTGGCTGGCTAACCGTAGTACACGCATCAATATTGATACCTTCCTGAACGAAAAGGTTTCGTGTTTAGTTTCGCGACCCGATTGTGGAGCAATAAGCAGGTAATAATGATCCGATGGGTTTATACGGAACGCGCAAAGAAGAATTGCTTTTGGTCGCCACGAATTCCGTGTGGGTTTTAATATGCGCGCGACACACAAAGCGCGAGCGCTCCGTGCTACTGTAATATTACTGTATACAAGCTTACGGGGCATCCTTACAAGGAGTGCCCTTTTAGTGTCATCGGCAAAACCTTTCACGACCTAGCTCATTCGATAGAGAATTGATTTCTGAACAAGCTCCCGTTGTTCGTTTTTGCGGAATGGCTGTCTCCGATTTTATAAAATTAAAAAACTAAAAACAGCATTTTTGGACCTCGATGCTCGCGCCCGCCCCAGAAGCGCCCCCGGGGGAAGAGCCGCTCTGACCTCTCCCCACCACCAGTAAGCGTGGCGCAGTGGCTAACACCGCTGCCCAGCGAACTTTTTTGCGATTCAGGCAAAAGTTCGAAACTCACGGCAACAATTCTTTTTGCTTTTTGGATTTTGACCGCGCTGGGTTCATAGGTCAAAATCCGTTTTATTTGAAGCAGAGACAATCGAACAATCCTTTGTGAGAAAGCCTATGTTTTTGAAAAACATGCGCTAATCGGGGTTAGCGGGCGTAGCCCGCTAATCGGGGTTAGCGGGCGTAGCCCGCTAACCCCTTTTGGTTTGAGGTACCCCCCCATACGACTCTTTTGGGGTCCTTTTCCGGATTTAAAAAAGAACCAAGCATCGGATCGCAAAACTGAATACACCATCGGAACCGGCGACACTTTTTACATACTATAAGCTTTTAAAAATTGAAAAAGAGTGAAATTTCGAATTTTAACAGCCGATTTAAATTGCGTTTCGAGGGGGGGGGGTCTGCGTTTGTTTGTATGTATGTATGTACGCAAAACCTTTGTAGTCGTCAAAAAGTGCCTTCCCACCATCCGTTTGGGCTGAAATTTTGCACAGTTATTGGGTGACTGATAATCTCGGACCGCAAGAAGAGTTTTTTTCAAAATAGGCTTTTAAAAAATTTATATTTAATTTTTAAGTTTAGAAGCTAAATTGCGGTCAAAACAATGGTTAGTGATGTCCGTTTGGGCTGAAATTTTGCTCAAATATACATTAGACCATGCTGGAATAAGTAAAGAAGAAATTGCAACGAAAGAATGCTTCTTCTCTGAGATATTATAACTTTAAACCTTCGCCATACGGGGCCCCACCCTCCCCTTTGGCGGCCCCAGTCCCGGATCAGGGCGGGCGGGTCTAGCCTCCCCAAGACAGGCCTCCAGTCTCCCCGTTGGCCTAGTGGTTAGCACGCTGTACTGGGAAGACCTGGCTCCCGAGTTCGAACCCCACCCGAAACATGGTTTTTGCCGAATGGCCCCCTGCATCCTTATGGTTTCTAGTGCCGTCACAAAGCGCCGCAGGCAAATTTTTTTGAAGTTGTGCGTACAAGGGTTCATCTGAATGAGTATTCCTTGGCTTATTTTACGATCTTAACAATAAGATTGAGGCAAAAAGGGCTAAATTCTCTCTAAGGCTAAAAAGAGTCTTTTTAAAAAAGGGCTTTTGGTTTTCGCAAAAAGAGACGAATTCTCGTGGCAACAAAAAGAGCTAAATTCCTTTCAAACTCTTAAAAATGCCACAGAATGTGGGATCAACCAAAAGTTGCTGGCACCTTATTAAAATGGACAGATCTAGTTTCTAGCGGTTTCGGCTTGCAAATAATTTCTGTATTATGATCTATTTGCACTTTCTTGAAATTAATCTGTGGACCTGACCTGTGATCTGGGATGGTACCGAGTTTATTAAGGTTTTAAATAGCCAGCAACTTTTTGTTGTTCCCGCATTCTGTGGCATTTTTAAGAGTTTGAAAGGAATTTAGCTCTTTTTGTTGCCACGAGAATTCGTCTCTTTTTGCGAAAACCAAAAGCCCTTTTTTAAAAAGACTCTTTTTAGCCTTAGAGATTAAGAATCTAGTTGGTGCAAGCCGGCTTTTCTCAAAAATGCACATGAAACGGCCACGAGGGGTTCCAAACGTAACCCTATTCAAAAAGCAAAAAGAATTGTTGATGTGAGTTTCGAACTTTTGCCTGAATCGCAAAAAAAAAGTTCGGTGGGCAGCGGTGTTAGCCACTGCGCCACGCTTACTGGTAGTGTGGAGAGGTCAGGGCGGCTCTTCCCCCGGGGGCGCGTCTGGGGCTGGCGCGAGCATCGAGGTCCAAAAAAGCTGTTTTTAGTTTTTTAATTTTATAAAATCGGAGACAGCCATTCCGCAAAAACGAACAACGGGAGCTTGTTCAGAAATCAATTCTCTATCGAATGAGCTAGGTCGTGAAAGGTTTTGCCGATGACACTAAAAGGGCACTCCTTGTTAGCGCATTAATAGACAAGCGCCAAACCAGTTTGCCTTTTTTGAAGCGGGGGGACAAGGTCGGACTTTGGATTTGCCGCCCCGCAACGCGCAACGCCAGCGCCGAGGCTTGAACTCAGCCCTAGCCGCTTTAGGAGTCATGGCGGCGTTGTCTGGGCTCTTTGAATTTGACGAAAATTTCTTCGTCACCTCTCAGTGGATGTGTACTATTTACCTAGACGCGAACCTGCACGCAGCGCGGCACGCAACGTGTCTACATTGCGTTATGGATTACGTTCAGATTAGTACGCGTCGCGGAGTGCGAAAAACTAAGCCTTTGGTAATTTCAGGTTTAACAACGCCAATAAAGGAAAGGTATATTAAAAATTGTCGTAGCTGCCAAAAATTCAAAATTTTATAATTTTAAAACGACGTTTTATTTAGTTAACCGGGTGGGCTACGTCCTTCGCAGTCTATATAGTGCCTAGCCAGTCAGTAGCGAGTAGTAGCCAAAGCCAGCCAGTAACAAGTGCCGTAAAGTTACGTCTGATTTTGTTTTCGCGATCGGGTCTTTCCGGTAATCAGAATTTTTACGTTATTAGACGACGTTTGGTTTTCATCTTTCGCTTACCCGCCGTTATTTAGCTCGTTTCGTCATAGAACTTTATCACTTCACAATTACACAAAAAACCTTCATAACTTCTGGAATGTAAATAGATAAAACACAGAGGGACAGTGAAAGA